GACTGGCCATTATCTTACACATAATCAGTGAGTTATTACAAATTTGGGTGGCATTCGTGTTTCCCGGATATGAATGATAATAATCAAAGAAAAAATGATGCAAAAGTGAAAACAGGGCTTAAGACAGATAGATGGAAAGACATTAGTCAAATGCAAGCGCCAGTGAGACAGGTTTTTGTGAATGAATTCAGACCCTTGATGGGACTGAGCCCCCCTCACTGCTTTTCGGAAACGACTAGAACTCCCAGGGCCATTATTTTGACTGCTTCCATTCATACCAATGGAGTTCTGAAAAATTCACCCCCAAAAATGTACGTTTTGTACCAGATTGATTAGAAGTAAATACGTTCTAAAACTGGTGAATATAACTTGAAATACAACAAAGGCTAAATGCTAGCCGCTGACCACAGTAAAAAGTGTGTTTCTATGGTAACTTGTACTGGCTCTTCTTTTGGAGTTAATGGTATAACTACTCACATTTATAAAATAAAAGACAATCCAATCAAAAATAATGCCATAGAAATAAATTAAATGTATTGTGAAAAGGCGAATATATATCAGGGTCATATGGTGAATTTGGATTATTTTCAAAATGAAAAACAGTGGTAGATTTAACTTTTATACCAGCAAAAAGTGAATTACTCAAAGATGCACAAAGGCCTTTTTGTGACTATTCAATCTTCACCTATATTGTGTCTCCTTTAATCAAAGCCACAGAACAATAGAGCTTTTCTGACAGTTGGCCATATTTTATTCTCCCCCGTTGCAGGAGTACAGCAAAACAATTAAAATCCTCATATTGTCTTTTTTGTCCCATGTCCCAAGTCAAATAGCAGAAGCAGCGCAGTCCGTTTGAACTCCTGCGGTGTGTATATGTGACCCTATATCTGGGCTCAGTGGTGATTGTTTTTGTGTCATCTGGATTTGGAGTGACTTCATTATGAGACGATAACCCTTTACTGTCGCCGTCTCGCACCCGGCTTCACGATGTCCATAAATCCTCGAGCTCTCGCAGGGAAAACAGCCCCAAAGCCATCTCCGTCCCACTGTATTTACGAGCAGCCGGCTGATACGGGAGAGATTTGTGCTCCTTTTCTTTGTTTCAGATGTAGAGATTTTGTTGCCTCTCTGCATGAAACATTTTTAGGGCACTTTTTACTACTTCACAACAAAATCAAAAGTTTGCTTTCAGTCAAGTTTTGTTCATGTTTAGAGGATGGTGTGACAAATACAATCTCTGTGTTGCCAATCTTGATCTCAGCCCTGTATTAGAACGAACTTGGTAAAGTGAATTATTAGGATGTGAAATGTGTGAGAAAGTCAGCCATGCACAGGTTTTGTCTCTGTGTTCTGAACGCACTGATATAATGATAAATAGTAATTCATAATAACATCAAATTTGCGCTTTTTTGGACACTCAAAGGTGCGTTACAAAACACAAGAGAATAAATATTGAAGAAAAAGGCAAGCTGAAACAGGTGGGTTTTGAGCAGTGATTTAAAGTTCTGTAGTGAGTCGCAGTTTCTAATGGGTTGTGGGAGTGAGGGGCGGCGAAGGCGAAGGCTTGGTCCCCCATAGCTGTAAAAACAAAACAATGCCTGCGAGAATCATGACTCAGGCCACTCCTCCCCGAAACTGTGGATTTTGGAAAAATTGGGCTAAAAATCCTTTTGTCTATGGCAGTCTTAGTGAAGGTCAGTTATTTGCAAATTGTGAAGATGGACAATTTTTTTTCCAATGTAAGCCGCTGTAAGACCCGCCCCCACAGGTTCCTGATTGGACGCAATGAATTCAAGTCCTTGAAAATTAAATAGAAGTTAAGTTGCAGACTTTTGGGTTCTATAGACATTATTTCTATGATTTGTTGTTCTTTATACTGGATTTACTAACCTTATCAAATAAAATTATAAAACAAAAATAGAAGTAATCTGGCCACCGCAGATCAGAACGTCGCTAGACACGCAAGTACAGACACAGACCGATTCAAAATAATCAAACAACTCAGAGAAGCATCTGGACTCTACCACATGGCAAAACTCAATCATGAAATGGCGTCAAAACATTTCAAAGTCTACTAAAAAAGGATGGCGTGTTTGATTTATAGCAATTGGAACCACCAACGACTAGAAATTACACCAAAACATGCCAGCATTTTCAGTTTCAGCACAAATCCTCCTTTGTGGCCTGCGTGAAGTCCCTATCGAGAACTGCCTTCAATGGACTCACTGAGGACAAATCAATGGCTGATATTAACAGGGAAATGCAGAGGAGGAGGAAATTGTTCTTCCGCTGTGTCCTTGGCCGCTGGCTGTTCTCGGCTTACGCAACACAATGAGATCTCTCAATTATTCCCCCATATTTGATGATTAATCCGTGAGCGAAGCGTGAGTCAGCAAACGCTCGCAACGCCATTTTGTTGGGTCTTATCTCCGTAATGCCCTCATTTGTCCCAACTGTCTCTTGCTCATTTCCCCCCAGTTCTGTGCCGCTCCACACCAAGAACTTCGAGGGACATTGGTTGTAATTAGCACTTGCAACTTTTCTGGCTGAGAATCTGTTTATCAGCTTGTCTTTTTTTGCGAAGCATCCACCTGTAATTTAATAAACAAAAGTCCAATACCAAATCAGTGCTGTATTGTTTTCCCCCAGAAATGTATCACGGGCACTTGTTCAAATGCTCCGACAGATACCATTAATGACAACAAAAATGTCGCAAATCTAGTGTGATGCCAGTTCTTTTAGAAAAAATATCTACAGAAATTGTTATAATGTGAGAAAGAGCCTTGTGAGTCATTATTTTATTTTATGAAATAAAATATAATAATAACTGTCATAGCTTTATGACATGAACAAGTGTGGTGGACTTCATTACTTCATTCCTCCTTTTACAGTTTGAAAATAAGCCAAATAAAGATTAGTTTTCTATAAAACTATAAATCTGGGGTACCTAACGTCGGAGGGGTGGCAATCAGTTGAGTTGCCATTCAATTCACAAAGCACCAACCCCTCACAGTGGGGATAAACTACTACCGTAGCCACAGCTGCCTTGTGGCACACTAACAGAAACGCAGCAATCCGTTTGTGCTTTCAACCTCTCCAATCACCACCATCATTGACGCACACACCAGAATCATACTGGGAAATGTGGGCGAAGTGTCTTGCCTAAGGACAGTTTGGCACTGTAGCTGCAGCCGCCCCTCTGTGACATTTGGTGTTTCCAGAGGTCTCCCATCACAGTACTTACCAGGCCCTATCCTGCTTGGCTTCCGAGACCTGACGAGATCAACATAAATGATGAATGCATGACAAAGACAGCAAGTTGTGGTCACATTAGTTTTGATTAATCAACATTTTACTTTCTGTTGGAAGTTAACACAATATGTCATTTACAAAACGAAAAAGTTATCTACCCCTGCTTTAAAATCCTCACATCTTACATACAGCTCCTGTATCAATCTGCCTCTGTGTATCTGCATATAAATCATGCATGTTCCTCGCGTCTCTGCCCACATCAGTCCCTATTACACATGCATTAAACCAAGTCGTGTGTCGCGCTGCCTCTCAAACTTGCGCCTCAAAAATAACATCATCTGAAACCCAGGACCCACGCGGACATCATCACTGCGTCGCACACACCATCACAGCCTTATTACTATTCATTGGAACAGACAGGAGATCGGGGAGAGGTGAGAGACAAGGCCAACCTGTAAGTCCAAACTCGGGGGATAAAAACCGCCTGACACATGATGAGATTTATGAGTTTGGTGATTCGTGTTGTTGATGGTGATGCCCAGTGTCAATCACAGACCGGATAGAGTCAAACGGAAGAGAAATACAACATCATAATTATTGGGAACAAGGAGGCTGACGGACCAGACTGGCACAGGAGTCGTGATGTTGGGTTTTGTTTTGACAGGCAACTAACAGACGCAAGCGGAAATAATCACAGCTTTTACCTACAGAATTGGGTGTCCAAACTGAGGCCCGTGAGCCAAATACGGCCTGCTGTGTCATTGTATGTGGCCCTCTGCCCTGCTAACACTAAGTAGCCATCGAGGAACTCTCACAGCGTCATCCAGCCAACTTCAGCTCCACCATCACAGTCATGCTACACCTCCCTGTAAAGCTCAGAATCTTTGGAATCAAGTTGTTGAATTAATTTGCATTTACAGACATTGTGTTTTGATTGTGTCACAAATTTCCCCATAAAGCATAAAGCCTAAAACAGCTTGAATCCAGTCAAAATGTTATTACAATCCGGGTTGTCGGCCCTCGGACAAGTCTGGTTGACTATAGTGGCCCTCTTACTGAAATCTTTTGTCGAATGAAGGTATCTGATTGGTCAATCCTTATCTGGCTCATATCTAGATTTACAAAAGCAAAAAATCAAAATATAAACAACAGGATCATAGAGACCCAGAATGAAACAACAAGGAGCCAGAACAAGTTGGAACAAAACTTTGTCCATGAGCACTTTCTTATTGGGCTTCAATGACCATAGGGATTACCATTGACCATCTTTCTACAGTCTATAAGATCAAAAAGACAAGTAGATAAAACAATTTATTTTGCTATAAATACCTACATCTTCCACCATTGTATCCATATCTATTATTTTTGCAGTTTACACATATTCTGTATTCTTGTAATTTAAATAAGATAATTAGTCAACTAATACAAAATCTGGTCGACTCCAACATAATCAACCAATTACATAATACACGACTCAAGGAGACAGCCCTACTTTTTCCCATTTCTATTCTGGATGATTTTTTGTCTGATGATTTACTGTCCACAAATAGAATAATATAATGCAGTTTTTTAATGACTCCCTAATCTTCATCTTATTTTCTTGACTTATAGGTACAAACCTAGACATGTTTTTAAATAGTCAGTTCTTCTGGTGCAAATGAGACCACTGGAGTCTCCTTACCTCTGATAAATCCACATTTAAACAAACTGAAACTTTGTGACTCTCCGACTTCTCATTTGAATATCTTTTATTGTGTCTTATGTGTTCCACAGAGGCGGCGTTCGGAGCTGTGCGTGGGCCAGGAGCGAGCAGGAGCTGGGTAACGGGTGTCCGGGGAGATGCCTGTCGGAGGAGACAGAATGTGGAGGTGGCACAGTTTTGAAACCGAGACACAAGACAAAGGTGAGCAGACAAAGGAAATGTAAATATAAAGACGCATTTTCATGTCTGGGGTGAGCAAGAATACATCACAGCCTTTGTACGAAAGAAAGTATTTTTATTTTTTTATATGTATGTATGTGTGTGGGCGGGTATGAGCAACCGTATGAGCGGGTATGAGCAACTCCTTTTTGAGGTTTAACAGGAGAGAAGAAAAAAAAAATGCATATATGTATGTACGTATCAAATCAAATCCATATATGTACATTTCTATCAACTAATATATGTAATTGCTGTTAAATCTATAATTGATTCCTGTTTATAAGCTTGAAATAATATAAAATCAATCAATCAATCAATCAATAAGATACAGTGCTTTTCTTGCCTGTAAAACCTGCTCAAAGACACTTTTTGTAGCCACAGACAGATAATAATGATAATGTAATTTATTTTAAGGCTCCTTTCAAAGCATTCAAGGTCATCATTCAAAAAAGCCAATAAAGGTCAGAAACATTGAAGGAAACAACAACCAACAGTTCAAACTTTAGCTCTTTAATCTTCACTCCTTGAAGAAATCTAATTTGGAAAATGTTGTACTGTAGGACCACAACTAAGACAAAAAATCATTTGTTTTTATGGGTTTTTTTACTTCTAGTTTTTCATTTATTGGCTTTTACCAAATAGTAGAGATGTAGTTTGATGGTAAAAGTGCGGTTAAAGCCACAGCACCAGGTATTGCAGTGGTCTCCTGTGTAATAACAAGGCCACTGCTTACCACTGCTTACTTTGTAATAATAAGAATAAATTGGTTTTATATAGCGCTTTTTTGGACACTCAAAGACACTTTACACGTCATTATTCTTTCACTCCATACACAGTAGTGAAAAACTACCACAGCTGCCCTGGGGCACACTGACAGAAGCCCCAGACTCATTCTAAGCAATGTGGATGAAGTGTCCTGCGCAAGGACAGAACGACCTTGGTTTTCCCGGAGGTCTCCCATCACAGTACTAACCAGGCCCTGCCCTGCACAGCTTCTAAGGTCTGACGGGATTTGGCTAAAGTATATTTATTTGTACAGCGCTTACTATAAACAGTACAGTACAAGACGATTACAGTTTTGTAGCCACAGACTTATGGAAGGAAACCGCTTGTGGATGTAAGTGTATTGCCTACAGTTTAGGGCCACAGCAATCCACCAAAAATTCAGCAGTCGGTCTCCCATGTAATATCAAAGCCACTGCTCACCTTCTGGTATAGATCACTTGTTGAAAAGCCAAATAATACAAGAACAAAATAAGTATATATTTGTTTGTGTTATAATGTAAGTTCTTCATGCTTTGCTCATCTGAAATACCTCTACAGCCTTTGCCCTTTCTGTCCATGGAGCTGGTCATTAACCTGTGTGTCCATCGATCCCCTTCACTCCCACTGTGCCGGCTACTCCTCTCCGCAGTACGTTTGAGGTGTACTGCTGTGGGGCGCTGACCTCAGCTTGGGAATCGTCGACATCAGAGTTCAGGGCTGAAGCTCCAGTGAGTCATGAGCTGATGGGGTGGAGGTAATGAGAGATTTACTCAGCAGGAAAAGAACAAAAGGGTCTCAAACTAAATGTGAAAGGACTTGTAACAGGTTGTGTCTTTAAAGTGTTTTCATGATGAAAAATGCCATTTGGTTTTGACTGGTGTGTGTGTGTGTGTGTGTGTGTGTGTGCGTGTGTGTGACTGTGTGTGTGACTGTGTGTGTGTGTGTGTGTGTGTGACTGTGAGTGTGTGTGTGTGTGTGTGTGTGTGTGTGTGTGTGTGTGTGTGTGTGTGTGTGTGTGTGTGTGTGTGTGTGTGCGTGTGTGAGTGACTGTGTGTGTGTGTGTGTGTGTGTTGTCGATTCTCTAACAGGTGCCACTGTATTGTATAGGGCTGCAACTGTATTGTAAAGTGCCTGTTGCTGTGTCCTTAGGCAAGACACTTCACCCACATTGCCTAGAAGGAGTCTGGTGTGTGAATGGCAATGAACAAACACATTCATTGGTCCACAGGGAGCAGGATGACCACTGTTCAGAAAGGTTTATAATGTCCGTAGATGTTGTGAATCATCACTGACCACCAGGAGTCAGGCCGTAGAACGAGGACTGAGGCATAAAGAGTGTTGAACAGGCATTTTTGCTCAAATGAAAGAATTTGCTGATCGCTAACTTGATCTGCGGCCATAGCAAAGCCTACAGGGCCTTTAACGTGAGGTTTTTTCTGCTAATGATTTTAGTGATGTGTGAATTTGCGTCATATTACATGGTTTTAGATCAATATTGGGATCTGAAATGTTCCAAATGTATCACAATGAGCTCCTTATGCCTTGGAGTAGAAGCAGGAAAAGTTGAATCAAACACATGTATTCATCAATGTGCTTTACCCAGGCCCCGCAGAGCCCCCAGGTGAGTGATGATGTAGTGGCTGACGGTGTGTGATTGGCCAGAGAATCGAACATGCTGCTGAGCGCCGAGGCCCCGGCCTGCCGTCCCGATCAAATACTCCAGAATCAGGTTCCAGCCGATGAAGAAGGCCACAAACTCCCCCACGGTGACGTAGCTGTAGGTGTAGGCTGATCCCGTGGTCTACAAGACACGCCCACTTCACGACACGCCTCTGTCTTGCAGGCTTCAGACAGACCCTTCTCAAATATACATGTATGTCAAAACCGAAGATCACATTTGATTTGTCCTTGATATGACTTTCCTACAGAATAAACTCTTAGCCTCTGCCATATACAGTACTACACTAGCGTGTGCTGGGCCCCGGGCAGCACAGAGCGGGACAGAAGCAGACTGAACAAGCTGGTCAGGAGGGCCAGCTCCACTCTGGGCTGCTCCCTGGACTCTGTGGAGGAGGTGAGGGACAGGAGGCCCCTGGACTCTGTGGAGGAGGTGAGGGACAGGAGGACCCTGGACTCTGTGGAGGAGGTGAGGGACAGGAGGCCCCTGGACTCTGTGGAGGAGGTGAGGGACAGGAGGACCCTGGACTCTGTGGAGGAGGTGAGGGACAGGAGGCCCCTGGACTCTGTGGAGAAGGTGAGGGACAGGAGGCCCCTGGTCTCTGTGGAGGAGGTGAGGGACAGGAGGCCCCTGGACTCTGTGGAGGAGGTAAGGGACAGGAGGGACAGGAGGCCCCTGGTCTCTGTGGAGGAGGTGAGGGACAGGAGGCCCCTGGACTCTGTGGAGGAGGTTGAGGGACAGGAGGTGGACTCTGTGGAGGAGGTGAGGGACAGGAGGCCCCTGGTCTCTGTGGAGGAGGTGAGGGACAGGAGGCCCCTGGACTCTGTGGAGGAGGTGAGGGACAGGAGGCCCCTGGACTCTGTGGAGGAGGAGAGGGACAGGAGGCCCCTGGTCTCTGTGGAGGAGGTGAGGGACAGGAGGCCCCTGGACTCTGTGGAGGAGGTGAGGGACAGGAGGGTGCTAGTCAAAGTCACCTCCATCATGAACAACACCTCCCACTGCACAGGACTGTAGAGGAGCTGAGGAGCTCCTTCAGTGGAAGAAGCAGCAGGGCCTTCATCCCCACTGCTGTCAGACTGTACAATAAGTCAATCTAAGTCACTTGCATTAGGACTGAAAAAACCTGCACTTCTTTTTTTTGTACATAATAAATCCTGCATTCAAAGTGTTGCGCATTTCTTTCTTTTGCACAGTCTGAGTGTTTCTGTCCATGCCAGATGTGACATGTCCATTTGTCCAGTGTGAGATCAATAAAGTCTATCTTATCTTATCTTAAATGTAGTTTTACAGGTGATTATACAATATAGTTAAACCTGTGCTAAACTGTTTGTATTTTAAACGTATGCAATGTCAAGAATAACACACCACATCTCTACTCTTTAGCCATTGTTCTCAAAACACAGCGAGCCTGTTTGGGGATTGATCCCACATCTTTGGCATTATTAGCAACACGCCCTTTCGGAGCTGATCAGCCTTTGTATCTTCAGAGAAACTTGTGATCAAAAACTAATTTTTCAATTTTTGAGTGCAATGTGCATTCATCAAACCTCAAGTTCTCTTTATGTATTTTCACAGTTTAAGAATCTATCTTTATCTCATTTTTATTATGAACAAAGGTGAGCAGTGACTTCTAGACATATCATATCAGGAGCTGCAGAAATTAAATGCTTATCTCACAATGTCAATAACTTTCCAATTGCACCTGTTTTCCTTTGGCATGATCTTGTTGATATTCAAGGTGGGGGCTTACCATAAAAAACATGCAGTAAATTAAAAAATGACCTAAAGAACCCTTACGCGTTTTTGATGCTATGTGCACTTCATCCCAGTTCTGTGTTCACTTGACTGGCCCTTAGTTTCTTCACAAATCACATTCAAAGCTCTTGAGTTAGCAGTCACTTTTAATTACATTTTGTTAATTTTTTACTTATTTTGTAATTATCTTGTGTGCTCCATTCATATCTATTATAATTTTTGTAATTCATTTCCTTTATTTTCAATGAGGATTCTTTGCCAACATTTAAAGTAGCTGAAAAAAATTGCCACGGCAACAGAAGCTTGGAACGTTCTATCATCATGGCAACAGTGGTTCCATTGGAATCATTACGTCATCAAAGCTAGGGTCTGCTGTGTCTGTGTGTGTCTGTCCGTGATTCGTGAATATAGTCAAACAAAAAACGGACTAAACGGAGTAAACAAAGTAAACGGAGTAAACTGAGCAAAATGGCGTGTTTTAGAAGGCAATCGAAGAAAGACAAGCTGATTGAAAAGCTTGAAGACGACGTGATGGTGTTGCAGGAAAAACACAAGAGTCTTTTGGAGGACCTGCAGAGGGAGAAGATGCATAGGAATGAGATGGAGAAGACTCAACTGGAAGAGCGTCGCCAACAAGAGGAGCAAGTGATCCAGCTCCAGACAGAGAGCTCTGCCTTGGAGACTGCTCTGCTGCAGGCGGAAAAGAGATCTACCTCTACTCAAGAAAAACTGGATTCTACCATTCAGGAGAAGACAGCAATCCAAGAGGAACTGCAACAGGCCAATGAGGACAGTGAGGCCTTGGACATTGCAATTAAAACGTCTGCTAAAAAGACAGACGCATTGATTGGAGATCTGCAGAATGAGCGTCGTCAACAGCAGGAGCAAGTGAGCCAGCTCCAGACTGAGAAATCTGCCTTGGAGACTGCCCTAATGCAGTCAGAGAAAAACTCTACTTCTATCCAAGACAGACTGAATTCTACCATTCAGGAGAAGACAGCACTCAAAGAGGAACTGCAGAAGGCCCATGAGGACAATGAGACCTTGGACATTGCAATGAAGACGTCTGCTAAAAAGACAGACGCAGTGATTGGAGATCTGCAGAATGAGCTTGTGCAGGTCAAGTCTGAGAACAATAAGACGATAGACTGCCTGAAATCTCAAATACAAGAAGGCAACCGTTTCATAGACAGGCTCAAGAACCAGATGCAGGACAGAGAGACGGCAAATACCCGTTTGGAGGAAAGTCTGGCAAGCACCCAAAAGGAGTTGAAGGAATGTAGCACAAATTTCCTTCTAAAAAACTCTGAAATTGCCAAGATGGAGGCGGAGAATGGGAAACTCTCAGCTCTATGTCAAAGGTTCAAGACAAAAATACTGGACATGGAACAGCAGCTGAAAAACTTGCACGCTGCGTCGGAGAAAAGACTTCTTGTGGCCCAGGAAAAATCCAAAAATGAGGTGGAGCATGTCAAGAGGACCTGTGAACACTCCATTCAAGAGCTGAGCAAGCAGGAGGCCAACGCAAACCAGACAATTAAAGAGTTGAAGGCCAAGCTCTTGTGTCTGGAAAAGCATTCTGAAGACATCAAGAAAAAGTGGGAGGAAGAATGCAAGGAGGTGCAGAGGATGAAGCAAAGTCATCAAGAAAAGATTCCGCCAGTCGCTCTGACCAGGAGCTACCCCTCGCGGCCGGGCGGAGAAGAGGACCACACCGAGAGAACCGCTGATGTTCTGGTAATTGGCAGCTCTATTGTAAGAGATGTTGAGATCCCAGGGGCCACTGTTCTGTGCTACCCTGGGGCCAGAATGGGTGACATCGAGGGTAATCTGAGGGTCCTGAACCAAAACAAGCAGCGTTTTCGTCTAGTCGTCGTCCACGCGGGTGGCAATGACGTTAGGCGGAAACAAACAACAGCAGAGATGTTGAAGGTGCAGGTTGCCGCCGTTTGTAATCTGGCGAGCACAATGGCGGACACGGTTATCTTTTCTGGTCCCCTTCCTAGCACCGGCAGTGAAGAAGCATACAGCAGCATGTTATCTTTCCATCGCTGGCTGTCTGGTTGGTGCCCTCAACATGGTGTTGTCTTTGTTGACAACTGGAGCACCTTCTTGGGAAAGCCCGGTCTCATGCGCCCGGATGATGTCCACCCAACATTGAAGGGTACAGCCCTTTTGATCAAGAATATGGAAATGACTCTAAGTTCTCTGACCCGTTCAAATGACAGTCCGCCACAACCTCTGAGTTCCCACCAGAGAAGAAGACAAAACCTCCGAGTGCAACGCTGGTAAAAACACAACAAGGTGTTGTGTTTAAAAAACACAACACAACAAGGTGTTGTGTTTAAAAAACACAACACAACAAGGTGTTGTGTTTAGGCCAAACCAGCCACCACAGGTCAAAATCAACACAACAGGACAGAAACAAAAACCGAAGAAGACACCAATACCAACAAATTCCTTTAACTCCAAACTCCCATTACCTAAAGTCTGATAGAACTTTTTCACAATGACAACAGAGACTTCCACACAGCAAATTCAAAAGTGTTAAATTCAGATCCCTACTCAGCAAAAGGATTTGTAAGTACTCTTTTTATATACAGCTTATCTTCTGTTAACCTGCATAAATCATTTTCAATACTTTTTTTGTTCTAAAAGAGCACCTTTATGACCCTCTGGGTGGGTCTGGTTACCTGTCCTGCTTAAGTTAACCCGAAAAGAAAGCGTTGGCTACAACTTGAAGACCAGCTATTCGGAGATGACTGCCAAGAAGCTGTAGATGCTGACTCCCTAAACACGTCACGTCACACAGGATAATTTTCAATCGCCATTTTCTAGTTCATGACCAACAAGGCGCTGTCTCTGTTTTTGATCTTTTTTCCAAGATTAATTGACACAACAGATTTAGTAAGTATACATTACTTTTTGCTTTATTATTCCCACTTCAGTCATAATATAGTATATATACAAAAGTTTTGACTCTAAATGGTCCTCGCTGAAAGTCTGGTAAGTTTCTGCTTTGCTAGAATAAAAACCGGATCTCCAGGATGGAGCTTTAGTAGGCAAGGCAAGGCAAGGCAAGGCAAGTTTATTTGTATAGCACAATTCATACACAAGGCAACTCAAAGTGCTGAACAAGATAGCATTAAAATCATAAATAATCACAGAACATTAAAAAGAAAGATAAAAATATAAAATCCCTCAGTTGTATGCACAGCTAAACAGCACAGTTTTTAACTTGGTTTTAAACATAGTCAGAGAGGAGGCCTGTCTCACATCTTCAGGAAGAGTATTCCAGATTTTAGCAGCATGAATCTGAAAAGCAGCCTCCCCATGTTTAGTTCTGACTCTGGGCACTAACAGGAGTCCAGTCCCTGTGCTCCTCAGAGTCCTGGCTGGTTCATATGGGACTAACATGTCACTAATATATTTTGGTGCGAGGCCATGGAGAGACTTGTACACAAGCAAAGCTGTTTTAAAGTCTGTTCTCTGAGCCACAGGAAGCCAGTGCAGAGACCTGAGGACCGGACTAATATGGTCGTACTTCCTGGTTCTAGTCAGGACTCGAGCTGCTGCATTTTGAATGTACTGCAGCTGTTTTACAGCCTGTTTGGACAGACCTGTGAGCAGGCCATTGCAGTAGTCTAACCTACTGGAGACAAATGCATGGATAAGAATCTCCAAGTCTGCTTTAGACACTATGTTTTTGATCCTGGAAATGTTTTTTAGATGGTAAAAAGCTGCTGATGTTACTGATTTGATGTGGCTATTAAAATTTAAGTCTGAGTCCAGTATTACCCCTAGATTTCTGACCTTGTTTGAAGGTTTTAGGGAGAGAGACTGTAGATGACAGATGACGCTCTCTCTTTGTTTCTGGGGACCAAAGACAATCATTTCAGTTTTGTCTGCGTTTAGCTGAAGGAAGTTGTTTTGCATCCACTCACTGATCTGTTGGATACAGTGAAGGAGTGAGTCCACTGGTCCATGTTCTCCTGCAGTCAGTGAGACATAGATCTGAGTGTCATCTGCATAGTTATGATAGGAAACTTCGTTTCTGCGTATTAACTGACCTAACGGCAGCATGTAGAGATTGAAAAGAAGAGGTCCCAGGATCGACCCCTGTGGTACTCCACAGGTCAGGGCCATATGATCTGAGACACAGTTTCCAATCTCCACAAAGTACTTCCTGTCTTCAAGGTAAGACCTAAACCAACTTAGGGCGGTGCCAGCGATGCCAACCCAGTCCTCTAGTCTCTGTAAGAGGATCTCATGGTCGACGGTGTAAAAGGCAGCACTCAGATCTAACAGGATTAAGATTGAGACTTTGCCTGCGTCAGTGTTTAGCCGGATATCGTTTGTAACCTTGACGAGAGCAGTCTCAGTGCTGTGGTGGGGTCTAAAGCCGGACTGAAACATATCAAATGAGTTGTTGATTATAAGAAATCTATTTAGCTGTTGGTAGACAACTTTTTCAAGGACTTTCCCCATAAATGGCAGATTTGAGATGGGACGGTAGTTGTTAAGTACCGTAGCATCCAGACTGCTCTTTTTAAGCAGGGGCCTGATGACTGCAGTTTTCAGGGCCTTTGGGAATATTCCAGAATGAAGGGACATGTTTACTATCTGTGTGAGTGAAGGTAACAGACTGCTCAGAACAGACTTTAGAAATCTAGTAGGTAGTACATCCAGGCTACATGTGGAGGCGCTCAGACTGGAGATTATCTCTTGGACAGTTTGATCATTTACAGGTGCAAAGTAAGTTAGCTCAAAGAGCCTTTTAGGCTGTTGGATGGTTATCTGTGGATTGGAGACAATGGCGTTTTTGATGCCTTGAACCTTGTCATTGAAAAAATGTGCAAACTCATTACATTTACGTTTGGAAGTTAGCTCTAATGGCATCTGAACAGGGGGGTTTGTTAATCTATTAACTGTTGAAAACAGAACACGCAGATTGTTGCTGCAGCCTTCAATCATTTCAGAAAAATACCTTTCTCTCGTACTACGTAGCACCTGGTTAAACTCGCACAACTTATCTTTGAAGATCTCGTAATCAACCTGGAGGTTGGACTTGCGCCACTTCCGCTCGGCCCTCCGGCACTCTCTCTTTTGTGTATAGTATAGCCTGTAATGGGCATCGCCACACGCTGAATTGTCTTTGATAAATTAATCTGTTATTGTAACATACATATCTGTTTTTGTAACACTTTGTGTTTTCCAGGATGGGAGAGCGACATGTCCAGGACTTTGCTGTTGGTCACTTGCTTCCACCAACTCCAGAAGGATAAACGACGTGGCAAGTGGAGCTCACCTCAAGCTATCGACCTTGTTAATATCTGCAAGTACGTTGGTAATATCGAAAGAAACATTCTTTTAAGTTCTGTATTTGTGTATGTTTTTGTTTCTTTTTTTACCATTTATATCTATTTTAAGTATGTGTAAAAAGTAACGATCCTCATTATTTTACAGATTGGAGCCTTGACTCTTTTCTTGCTGGGGTGGAGCCTGGACAACCGTTGCTTTTTTGTGTTGGTGATGGGAAGCACGACATCCAGATGTTCTACATGGTCGTTGAGCATAAGGTGCTCCATACCAGCCACAAACACTTTCTGCAATGAACTCTTCAAGGTGCACTTCATCTTCAGTTTGAACTGTGCAGAGTCGCTCAAAAACGTTTAAATCTACAAACAAACAACGGTCTACAACATAGACTTTGGACAAGTGGAGTCAAAGAGCTCAGAGCAAGGATCCAAAATGCGGAGCTCCAAGGAATCATCTAAAGAGTCTGGACAATGTTTCTGTTCCTTCTGTAAAGGACAACATTCCAGTTCTGCAGCAACATTTAAGGCACAGTCATGGACTATATCCACACAAACATTTGAGAATCAGTTGTGGACATTTGCCGGCTTTAAAAGGCATCTAGCCATTCGTCATAAATGTTAGTTAAAATCTATAATCTAGGCTGTATGGATAAAGTGATACAGGGATATTTGTGATGGTTCATTTAAATCGCATCAATTCTCATAATCAAAGCTGCTCTCCAAATTCAACTTTATTATGACGGGCGGCACGGTGGCTGAGTGAATAGCACTCTCGCCTCTCAGCAAGAAGGTCCTGGGTTCGATTCCTGGTCGGAACTGGGCCTTTCTGGGTGGAGTTTGCATGTTCTCCCCGTGTCTGCGTAGGTTTCCTCCGGGTGCTCCGGTTTCCCCTACCACTAAAAATATGCTCAATAGGTTTGTTAGGATTTAGCAGACAGAGACGGATCGTGGTGTGCCAAACTCTGGAAGTTTATTTAAGTTGCTCTCAAGTTCCACTGGTTTACTCTGTTTCTTTCTCCCAGACAGAATAAAGGCAGTACACAGTTTATATAGTCATTGTCACGTCACACATGGAAAGACATACGTGTCACAAAGAGACAGTCACATCATAGTCATAACATGGAGTCCTTGTAGAGTCCTTGTACAGTCCTGCACGTAGGCCATATTGCTATCTAATACTAATAGGTTCACTCCTCCAGCTCTGGTTCTCCTGATCAAGCCTATAGTATCATTATCTAGAGGTGGGTTCCTGGGCGCTGTTACTACGGCGACCACTGCTCCCCATCAGGATGGGTCAAATGCAGAGAACTAATTTACATTTGGAGACTAATCATTTGGGTTCAAAGAAAGGGATACACAAACTAGGTGCTACAGTGAGGCGACTGTAAACTTGTCATTGTGCCCTTAGGCAAGACACTTCACCCACATTGCCTTGTGTGAATGTTGTGCGTGTGAATGAGGTGGTGGTAGGAGGGGCCGATAACAGGCAGCCTCACTAGGAGCAGTTTGCCTCAGGGCAGCTGTGGCTAGTAGCTCACCACCACCGTGTGTGGGATGAATGGTTAGTGTGACGTGTTGCATGCAATAGGAAGCAGTGATTCAGATCGGATGCAACAGTTTGAGAGAATAGCACTTTAGTGTCATGACGGGCCCTTTAAAATGCAAATGATTTGGTAATAATGGCTCCAATAATAGGTTAGTGTAGTTTTCTTGCTATCGAGAGGATGTGGGTCCACAGGCCTGAGTTCTATCAGTTCCTGTTGACCCTGTGATCTTAAGGAACCTGCAAGACTTTTAACAGGAGTGGGAGCTGTGCTGTGAAATTTGAGTTTCAGTAAAATACAAATAAAAATTATATTAAACCAATCAATGTCTGTACACTCAACTCAAGTTTTTATTCAAAACTCCTGGGCTCACCAATGACGAACATATTACCAACTTTTACCTTCCGAAAGTGACTCATTAAGTGGGTTTTGGTGAAGAATCGTTGGTGCGATGACAGCTTCATCATCAGTCATGTATTTTTACAGATTTACTTCTGAAACTTAGAGGAAACATAACTTTTCAGTGGTTTTGCCCATGTTTCCCCTCCTCATTATTCCGCGACAATTTGTTATTTATCCACCAAAATTCTGTTCTTCAGCGGTGGTAGTTTCTTCGTGTGTTTTTTTCCCCAAGAAAGAAAGAATTGCTGATCACAAAGCCCCAAGTGTTTAACACTTCATGATTCAATCATTTCTGTCATGTGGAGTGAAAAACCCAAAATGCAAAACTCCAAAATAATAGTTTTATCAAAAAGTAATACAAATCAAGATCTAGGAAAAGCATCACAAAAAGTCACCAAACCCGGAACAAGGAAAAGAACTGACACAGACGAGGAACGACAATGACAGAACAGGGAGTGAAGGAACACACGGGGCTAAATGCAAGATTTGGCCACGAGCCTGGACCAACAGTACGTGCCTGTGCCCACGCAGCGGCCCACGCAGCGGCCCACGCAGCGGCCCACGCAGCGGCCCACGCAGCGGCCCACGCAGCGGCCCACGCAGCGGCCCACGCAGCGGCCCACGCAGCGGCCCACGCAGCGGCCCACGCCCAGAGAAGTTGGAAGTTGAAACATTGTTTGTGTATGGACATTTTACAGTTAAATTGATAACAGCAGGATTGAAATATGAGAGAAAGTGACTTAGATCGAGCTTGGGGCGAGACTAATGAGTATAAATGACAGTGTGTATGTGTGGGGCTAAACATAGCTAAAAACCTGACAGTGTGAATGTGTGGGGCTAAAAGTTGCTAAAAACCTGACAGTGTGTATGTGTGCACACTGACAGAAGCGTGCCAACCAGTAAATGCCATCGGCCCCTCCGACCACCACCAAACATTCACACACACACCAGAGTCATTCTAGACAATGTGGGTCTTGACTAAGGTCACAACCACGGTGTGGCATTTTACAGCTGCAGCCGCCCCGATGTTGCACCTGGTGTCTCCCATCATTGTACTAACCAGGCCCTACCCTGCTTAGCTTCAGAGGTCTGGCTTTCACATGCAGGTGGCGCAAAGTTCTACAAATACACTTGTGTCAATATTTTAAAGTTTTCCAAATAATAAAATATAACTCCAGTGGTGTTATTTAATTTCACTTTTGTTGTGAAAATATTAAAAGTTGTGTTTTTTTTTTGTTTATGTTGGCCATTTCCCTGTTCTGCTGCTAATGAAGTCTGGCAAGAAACTGTTTTGCATTTTACAAATCATTAAACTAATTAGAATATATGATTGATCATGATAAACTTTGGTCGTTGATAAGTTGCTGTGGCTGCAAAAGTCGGCTTTGTTGAACTAAATTGTAAACCAAAAAGTGGCATCACCATTTCTTATTTGGCTTTTTTCTTTATAATTATACCCTGTATTCCGCTGGCAGCCGCAGCACTGATGTGGCTGTTTTTTATCTGCTTCATAATGAGTTTTTGTGAAGATTCCCCCCACTGTGCTGCGGCTGTCCCTGAGCTCAGTGTGGCAGTAATCAAAAATGGAAATTATTGTATTACCTTTTCCCCCCTCTCAAACTCAAGAATCAGAGAGACAAGCGGAGAGGGCGATAATGAGCCGAAAGATAAAGAAGTCTTCCTTTGTGAACGCATCAACAAACTGTGGAGTATAACAGGGGGAGCAGAACATGGAGATATTTTTAATTATGAAATATAATATAGGGCTGCAGTAGAATGGAATGAATGCTCAAATAAAGAAACTCATTTTTATTATGACTAAGAGGCTGAACTGATTTATTTTACTTTTTATTTGACCCAACCTGCCCTAACCGGACTAAAATATCACAGGAGATCACACACAGATAACATTAAAATACTCTATATCTGTTTGGGGAAAGTGCAGAGTAAACTTCTAAATATCAAACCAACAGGTCAAGGATCATGTTTTGGGGGCAAAACAAGAACGCAAGCATTCTCATATTATTTAAAAACAAAAAGCTTTCTAAATTCTATGCCAAAACCATTTTAATCAGTGGTCTCAAACTCGCGGCATCGTGGCTTTTTGTCCAGTTTCCAGTTTCCTATGTCCTTTACTGTTCCCACCACTGACACTGGATCGCAAAGGATCCAAAGTTTTGATATTATTTCCACACTGATTCAACATGCTCTTGCTCTAAAATGTTGTATAGACACATGAGGTATTTCTGTGTCAGGGATGTAAGTAAGTAGTAAGTAATCTTTATGGCAGACCATGGTCACCCAAAGCACTTTAGAACAGGGGTGTCCAAACTGTGGCTGCAGGTTTTCTATCAGACCCAGCAGGAGCAGCGCAGACTCCGCCCATTTCCTCAAGTGAGTTCAGTCTTAACCTGAAGATTTGATGAAATGGGTGGAGTCTGCGCTGCTCCTGCTGGGTTTGATAGAAAACCTGCTGCCACAGCGGCCCTTTCTGGACCAGTTTGGACACCTCTGCTTTAGAATGTTCAGAGTTCAGATATTTTTCCCTTCTCTCCACACACAGTGATGACAGAAGCAAGACGCCGAACACACTGGCGCATCAAAGCCATCAATCACCATCCATTCACTCACTCATTAAGATCATACCATTGCAGTAAAACCCCATTGGAAAAAACTGTGCAAGACTACCCCAGTGTGCACCAGACGAGCTCCTGCCACAGCACTCTTTTTTTTCAAAATCCCTCATTAAATTCATACCTAGTGCATTTTTTTAATGGCAGGGGAAACTGGAGCACTCGGAGGAAACCGGAGCACTCTGAAGAAACCGGAGCACTCGGAGGAAACCGGAGCACATGGAGGAAACCTACGCTAAAACAGAGAGAACATGCAAACACCACTCAGAAAAGCCCTGTTCTGACTGTGATTCGAACCCAGGACCTTCTCTATGAGAAGCGAGAATGCCCTCCACTCTGCCACCGTGTTGTATAACATGTCTGCCATCTTGTGTCGGAGAGTTAGAATGAAAATTTACACCCCGTTTGATAAATTTTTCCGTTTTAAACAGTACCGTATTTTTCAACTTAAAATTGCAGGGGTGCCCAGAGGGTTAATGCGGCCCAGCTTCACCCAGACTCGACCTCATGCGGCCCCCAGAGTTATTGAGTTTGAGACACCAGAATTGAATGAAACTGGATGCTCTCTCAGTTTGAGGTAAATTGATGGACAGCGGTCACGGACAGAATAGTTTTTGGTGGAGAATGGAGTCGATACTAAACGCATCAAAACAACACATCTGACTGCAGTTCAAGATCAACCGTCCACTTTTCATGACTCAGGATTCCCAGCACAAGAACAATTTACCAGGTTTTCAAAGTACTTAGGTTTTACCAGTTCCTTTCCTTCTTGTAATGTTCCGAGCCTGAATGCAAACAGAGAAAGAGCTCACGCAGGAATCCAACCCAGTCTGTTTGCTAAAGTCACTCACTTCACTTCACTTCACACTTCAGTCGTTACCTGCCTCTCAGAGTTGTGTGCTTAAAAGTTGTGCGACCTCTAAAACTTGTGTATGTCTTCTCTAAGTGAATCATTTAATCATCAAACGCCGATCTCAGGGAAGGCTGTTGTTAGCGCTGTCAGTCTTCATAATGTTTTTTATCAGGTTATTGAGACTGATTTCAAAACACCTGCTCTCGAGATGGAGTTTATTTACAGAGGATAAAAAACATGCAGGAAGTTTGGAGTTTTAGTCTTTGTTTAGTCTGTGACATTAAAGGTGATCAGAATCAGAGTTATTTGTGTTGCCATTGTAAGTGAAAGAAAGTCACAAACTAGCAATTTGCTTTGGCTAAAGTTGTAAGAGTAAAAATATAATTAAGGTATGCATAAAAAACTCACAAAATGTCTTGAAATTACTACTATACACAAGTTCACTAAGTATCAGCAAATTAAATCGTATTACATTTTTCAAATGATGTATAGTTCTGATCATGGGACGCCACAAAAAAGTCTCTCCCCTTTGCCTAACTACGACCATTAAGATTTGCAGTAAGATTTGCTGGACGAGAATAGTTAAATCCAGTGACCATCAAATTTGTCCAAACAGGAAGCTGTGGGGGTGAAAATGGGCGAGTCTAACCAGTGCCAACAGTTTCACTCTGTTCAAGTTGGAAAAGTAGCTGAAATTCACAGATACATTTGTTAAAGTGCAGCCCTCGGGGACCCATCTTCAAATATTGATGCTCAGCTTGGTCAGGGCTATCTGAGCTGAGGAATTTCACCATATTCTACATTTTTTAGTGGTAGACACAGACATAAGTAGAATATGCAAACTCCACACAGAAAGGCCCTGTTCCAAACTTCCTGTCCTAAACATTCTGCCTTCCCAGTTTACTCTTAGTGGACAAGAGGACAGTTGCACACTTCTGATTTACACACACTCATACTGCATGAGTAGCATATAGTCAAAAATACAAATCATGATTTATTACAGCCTGTGGGTTATTCGCATGGTCTATTGTTTCCTGCTACTCACAATGTTTTGACTGAGTCACAAGATTCATAGATAATTCATCAGCAAAGCTCTGCGCAGCTCAAAAAAAACTCACTGCGGGGGTTACTCTTCATAATCAAATTCTATAAAATGCAGATATCAGTTAAATAATGGTACATTTTTTTGCGTTTAGTGGCATTAAAAATCTGGACAAGCTCCCTCACAGCTGGCACATGCTAACTGCGTGTTTACAGTTTCCGTGGTTACTTTCCAAAGTGGTGCCAACATGTCCGGTGGTGTTGAGCCGTGGACTGATAACGTGATGGATGGGTAGAATGAGTTTAGTATTGATCCAGGAGGTTCAGATCAGCCCTGTGCTGCTCCAAGTCGGAAACTGTTTAGACAAAGTCACACAACTGAAATCCGCCCACACTCCACCCCCAGGGGGACTTTATTTTGTTGAGAACAGAAATGCTGAGATGTATGTGTGTCCTAAAATTGATAATGTGCAGTGCTTCTCTTGGGGAGAAGAACAGCTATATATAACTAATGGCATAAATGTATTGTCAATTTAAATTAATGTATATGATCTTCTCCAGATTACAAATTTGGGTTCTTAATATTCAAACCTGAAATGAGAACAGTTTATTGGGATTCAATGGTGTTTGGTTAAAGGTATCGGAGGATTTTCCCAAAATTTTAGGAAAGAACCGCCCTCTCTTGATGAGCACGTATCACCAGAATGAGCGATAATCAGGAGGACCAATAGTCTTGATCATCCACTCAGAAGTAGAAAATCCGCCTATATAACTTTAAGTTGCACAGGCACTCACTCTGTATACACTTCAAAAACACGGCAATGATGTAACCCTTCTGCCGGACAGAAAATTATAAATGATAAAGTTGCTTCTGGACAACAGGTCAAGAGTAACAGTCGGCTGTGATGTTAATGTTTCTATATGTCATAAATAAAATTGAATAATGTAGGAAGGGGTGGAGGGATCTTTTCACTTCAATTCAAGATCATTGCTTATCATGTCTCCAAATGAAATAAACCCAAAGTGCAGAACTGGAAAAAATAGGGATTCAATAAAGACAAAATCCAGAGCAAAAATACCAAAAGAAATGAAAGAGGGGACAAAGATTGGAACTAAAGAAGGAGTGACAATGACAGAACAGGGAGTT